AATAAGCTTCTGTTGTTTATCAGCCACCCAGTCTATAGTATTTTGTTACAGCAGCCCGAATCGACTTCAGATACCCCAGTACTTCAGAAGGTGACCTTATTTGAAAACGGGACAATTGCAGATGGAATTAGTTTAGTTAAGATGGTGCCCACCAGTATGACTGGTGCCCTTATAAAAAGGAAACAGATACACATAGAGAGGAATATGATGTGAAGACACAGGGAGAAGGTAGCCATCTAAAAGCCAAGGAGAGAGGCCTGGAATGGGACCTTCCCTCACAGCCCTCAGAGGGAACCAAACTAGCTGTTACCTTGATTTTGAACTTCTAGAATTCAGAATTGTGAGAAAACGAATTTCTGCTGTTAAGCAACTAAGTCTGTGGTACTTTGTTACAATAAGCCCTAGCAAACTAATATACATACTTTCTGGGTATTTCTTCCTACCGGTCCCCAAACCTGAGTGGGGGATGAGGGAAACCCATCCACTGTTTAAAATGAAGGTCAGAACTGACCCATCATCACCTGAGATTTCTGTACTGTTTCCTGGGTGGCACCGTCAGCATTGTTCTTTTCCAAGGACTGGCTTTGTTAAGACTTCAGCAGCAGATGAAATAGCAGTCTTCTGTCTCGTTCTTTGCTGTTTTTACAACCAGCTTAGTTTCCAGAGCTACATTTAAGACACACCCAACACTGAAAGCGCTTGCTAGACATTCAGCTCCCCAGAGTTCAGCCTTGGATGACTCCCGCGTCCTTGAGGAAAAAGAATAGGTGAGATCTGATTCCGTCCAGGGCCTTTGGCTCTTGGTTGCAGTGAGAGCAGTTGAGCTTGTAAAGGCAATTTCCACAGCTGGGAGAGAGGCCTGTCAAAACCAGAACGAGCTTGTTCTCTCATTAAACCAGTGCTAGCTCTTCTACAGAAGTGCAAGGGGCAAAGAAAATTTAATTTGTTAATAATAGTCTCAATATGTATTTTTTCCTTTTCAGCCAGTACAGGCTACTCTGTCATCTTTGAAGATGTTAGATGTGGGCAAGTGGCCAATTTTCTCCCTTTGTTCTGAGGAAGAACTGCAGTTAATTCGTCAGGCTTGTGTCTTTGGCAGTGCTGGCAATGAAGTTTTATATACTACAGTAAATGATGAGGTAATTTTGGAGAAAAAAATCAGCCACTCCTATTTTCAGTAATGGATTTGCTAAACTGAAGACCGTGGGGGGAACTAAGGAATTAAGGTTAAAAAAAAAAAAAGCACAGAGAGTAGATTCTTCTTTATTATTATATAATGAAGTGGTTTTGTTTGAGGAGGACTATTCCTATTTGAATGTAATTATAGGTTTGTCAGAAATAGAATGGCTTGAACTAACAGTGGTTTTCCCCCACAGGTTTTTGTGCTTGGCACAAACTGCTGTGGCTGTTTGGGATTAGGTGATGTCCAGAGCACCCTTGAACCTCGGAGACTGGATTCTTTAAATGGCAAAAAAATAGCCTGCCTCAGCTATGGGAGTGGTCCACATATTGTCCTTGCAACAACAGGTAACCTCGGAACACAGTGTGGACTTATTTTAGCAATCGCTTTGTTTGTTGAGAACCAAGACTAGGACCACCCTTACATTGAGAACATACTTTTTGATTGGGCAAGAGTTTCAGGCTCTGCCCTGTGAACTGGACTATGCTTTATCAGATATGAACATATCTGAATGTCAGAGTAAGGTAATGAAGCAGATGGAAGCTAGCAGTTATTGGCACTTTAGATGTAAGAATGGCAATGCTTTAAACCTATTTTGTTTATACTTTGTAAGTTAATTATTTTGCATTAGAACGCTGAACTCACGCTGGACTTTCTGAATTTGAGATTCCTGACATAAAAGCCAGATTCCAGGATCCCCTCTAACTGTTAGAATTCTGTGATTCTTACATCAAACAGATGGATGTCATTGGTTATTAGTAATACAAGGAGTTAAATATTCTCATGCTTATTTCATTAATTCAGAATAATAAGACATTACAATTAAAACATATTGTAAAATTTTTCTTAAGCTGAATATTCATGTTATTGGTGTTCTTTAAACCGAATGTAAATTTTATACTCTCTTATATATTTATTTCACATTTAAAAAATAAGTTTTAGGGATTTTTGGTTGCCATAATAGTGGCCTAGATTATTCAGACCACTTCTTCACTGCAAACAACTGAAAATGCTAGGTAAAACATTAACATTTTTTTTTCATAAAGGCACCAAAGCACTGACAAGGCAGAAAGGAATTATCAGACCGTGATTTGGGAGAAAGTGTGAAGAAGTCGGAGGGAAACTTGAAGCTAATTTTGCCTTAAAGATATCTGCGTATCCACTTGAATGGAATTGTGGTCTAATGTACTTCTGAGGTGAAGGGGTCATAGGTCAAAGACCTTGCACTATATAAAGGGCTGCACTCTCAGGGCAAGGATGAGCCAGTTCTTCCATCTCTATGGGACTGAAGTGAAGAATTCCTTGGCTCTGAACAAATCAGGAAGAAAAAAAGAAAGAAAACTTCTCCCTGAGAGGTTTAACAATGAATTTATATTCCAGTTCACATCAGACTGGGTAGTCCAAGAAATCTCAAGCCTTGAGTTTATTAAAGAAGGACCATTAAGTACCTTTAAGAAGTTAACACATATCCTTTCTTTAGGAAGGCACCTTCATTCTGGGCCTGAGGGAGAATGATGCCACTGAAAAATAAGTTTCCAATGGCAATTAGAAGCACATAGTCAAAGATAACCAGGTACAGAAGGAAACGGGCACCACGAATGAGAACCAGCAAAACTGCCAAATACCAGATAATGGAATTATAAGACACCGATTATAAGATGGCTGCATTTATCGTGTTTGAAGAAATAAACGAGTTTAAAGATACCTGCAGAGATCATAGAAGATTTGAAAAAGAACCAAATATACAATATAATTATCAAAATGAAAAACTCAGTGGACAAATTTTATAGCAGTTTGGACACAGCAAAAGATAAAATTAATAAACTGGAAGATAGATCAGAAGAAATCTGGAATGTAGCACAAAGAGATAATATGGTAGAAAAATACAGATAAAATGAGTGTACTGGAATAATNTGAAGTATCATAATCCACTTGGTTCTCGTATCGATGGAGAAGCAGTTATACAGGTAGCGTACACTCAAAGGAATAATAAAATGCATCATTTACTTTACAGAGCTGTATTTCCTTAATTATGTTTTCCTTGAGCTACTATTAAAATTCTGCTACTTTGCATTTCCCAAACAGATGCCAGCGAGAGACAGGGAAGATAGACTGGGTATGAGCAAAGAGTTAGTAAAGGAGAGCTGGCCTGGGATTGAGTCTCACCTATGGTAGTGTTATGCGCAGGAAAGAGGGTTATATTGCCAAGCTCTGATTCCCGGGTAGCTCCTTTTTCCTCATACAGAGTTTTCTATTGCTTACTCTTGGCTCTTGTTCAGCCAGTCCCTCACTTAACAGTTGGGCACAGAGATAATTGGGTGCCTTCTACAGAGATGGCTGCCATCATGCAGGGTGGCTGAGAGTAACTGAGGTGCTTCCTATAGGGTGCTGTGTGTGAATCCTTATACTAATATATGCTTTCATTATATATACAATGTATATATACTATATATGTACGTATGTATACAATATATGATGTACATAACTGTACATTCATGATTATACTGGACAGAAGAATGTATTTTCTGTGAACAAAGATGCTTCAGTTCCTTGAGACTAATATAAATATTTACTTCAAAAAGTATAAGCATATATACTTCATAAAGTAAATCATCAGTTCCCTATGAAATAGTTCCCCATAGATTTAAACAATGACTTTTGGATGACTAACCTTCAACAGCTAGCTTTCTGGCAGGTTTTAAAAGCAATGTATTTATACCTCTGTTGTGCTTAGGTTATATTGTAATTATTTGTTTTCTATAAACTGTGCGCTCCTTAAAGGGAGCCATCATGTCCCGTTTTTATTTTATTTTATTTAAAAAAATTTTTTTTCATTTTTAGCTGAGCCATCCTGCCACCTTTTGGCAGCTCAGCAGCAGCTCAGCTCGGGCCAGGCATCGAACCGCTGTTGCTCAGAGCTCAAACTCTTGAGCGAGGTCTTAACCAACTGGGCCACTCGGCCGGCCTATGTCCCGTTTTTATATCTTTAATATCAGACACTTAATAAAGGTTCAGTGATACTGTCAGACCCAGTGTTCTCTCAACCAGTAGCATCCTTTAACAAATGCACAATTGCAGGTGAACATTACAGACACCCACACTGGAATCCCAGTGGTTAGCAGAGTTACAAGCGGGGTACTATAGGTTCTGTATAGGTGGGCCAGGAAGAAAGTTTAGAACTAATGATCTGTAGGCAAGGGTTTAGGAGCTGGTTGAATTTACAACCTGATTCTAGGCCTCTAGAAACCACTTGATGTTGTAGCAGGGCAGGTTAAAATCCAACAAACTGCTTGAAAGGAAAAAATGAGGTAGCAATCAATTATTGTATTGCTGCTTATTTTCTCATTGTATATTGCCGTCTGCCCTATTTGTGCAAGACAGCCCACAGCGAAAGCCTTGCAAATGCAAGCAAACACTAGGCCTACCAGTAGTATCACTTTTTACGTGACCTTCTTATTCAGCAACAGATGTGCGCAAAGATATCCGGGCTCACCCGCTTAAAAGCTAGTGATCTCGGAGGATTAGTTAGTCTCTCCGTGCCTCAGTGTCCTCATATGTAGAATGAGGACAACAACGTCTGTGTCCTACAATGGAGAAGATTAGAAATGATATATAAAAACTCTTTTAACCAGCACACTAGCACATCTACATTAAATATTTGATGCCCCATCCCAAACATTTTTCTTTTTGAAATTTCTAGACTTAAATAGGAAAAAAAAAAATTCAAATGAAGACATCATAGAAGATAAGGCCTTGGTGATATAAAGAGGTGGGTAATTTCAGGTTAGACTATAAGCTAACATAATGAGAGTCTGTCCTTAGCTCTGTAGTGGCCCTTGGGTGCTGCCCAAAAGATAATAGAAGAAATTCTCAGGGCAGGGTCTTACAATTCGAGTGGCATGGGTTTGGCATGA